GACCTCAACAGGTTCAAAAAAATTGGAATAACCCCCCGTATCTTATCATACCAACATGATTTAAAGTTAGAATTCAACAACAATACAAATAGCAGAAACCCTACAAACTCATAGAAATTGAACAGCATGCAATTGCACCATTCCTGGATTGAGGAAGAAATTAAAGACTTCCTAGAAATCAATGAGAATGAAGACACAACATATCCAAACTTATGGGACACTTTTAAAGCAGTGCTAAGAGTAAAGTTCATAGCACTAAGTGCCCGCATGAAGAAACTGGAAATAGTCACACTAGAGAATTAACAGCACAACTGAAAACTCTAGATCAAAAAGAAGCAAACTCATCCTAGAGAAGTAGATGGAAGGAAATAATCAAATTGAGGGCTGAAATCAACAAAGTAGAAACAAAGAAAACAATACAAAGAATAAATGCAACGAAGAGTTGGTTCTTTGAGAAAATCAATAAGATATACAAACCTTTATCGAAACTAATCAAAAGATAGAGAGCATGCTAATTAACAAAATCAGACATGAAAAGGGGCCATAACAACAGATACTGAGGAAGTACAGAGAATCTTCAAGTCATATTTTTAAAATGACTGTACTCCAAAAAAATCCAGAAATTTAAAAGAAACGGACAATTTTCTGGATAGGTATCACTTACCAGAATTAAATCAAGAACAGATAAGCAATTTAAACAGAACTATAACCCCTAATGAAAAGAAAGCAGTCACCAAAAGTCTTCAAACAACAACAACAACAAAAAGCCCAGGGCAAGATGGTTTCAGTGCAGAATTCTACAGAAATTCAAGAAGAGCTAATACCAATACTTCTCAAATTGTTCTATACAAGAGAAGCAGAAGGTTCATTGCCAAGGTCTTTTTACGACACTACAATTGACTTTGTACCCAACTCACACAAAGACACAACTAAGAAAGAGAACTACAAACCATTATCCCTCATGAGCATTGATGCAAAAATATTCAATAAAATACTGGCACATCGAATCCAAGAGAAACCATCAGGGAAATCATCATCAGAGAAATCATCAGAGAAACCATCAGAGAAATCATCCACCATTATCAAGTAGGCTTTATTCCAAAGATGCAGGGATGGTTCAACGTACGAAAATCTATTAATATAATCCACCATATAAACAAACTAAGAAAGAAAATCCACATGATCATCTCACTAGATGCTGAAAAAGCCTTTAACAAAATCCAACACCACTTCATGATAAATCTCTCCAAGATCAGGGATAACAAGAACATAACTGAACAATAAAAGTACCTCCAACATCAAACTAAATGGAGAGAAACTCAACGCCATTCCTCTAAAATCAGGAACAAGACAAGGCTGCCCACTCTCTCCATATCTCTTCAAAATTGTGCTTGAGGTTCCAGCTACAGCAATAAGACAAAAAAGGGAGATCAAGGAGATACAAATTGGAAAGGAACAAGTAAAACTTTCACTATTTGCAAATGATATGATAGTTTACATAAGTGACCTGAAAAACTCTACCAGGGACCTCCTACAAAGTGGCAGGATACAAGATTAACTCAAAAAAAAATCAGTAGCCCTACTAAAGAGAAGATAAATGGGATGAGAAAGAAATTAGAGAAATATCACCCCTTATAATAGTCACAAAGAACATAAAATATCTTGGGGGTAATGCTAACCAAACAAGTGAAAGACCTGTACAGCAAGAACTTTGAGTCTTTAAAGAAAGAAATCAAAGGAGAAACCAGAAAATGAAAAGATCTCTCATGTTCTTGGATAGGTAGGATCAACATAGTAAAAATGGCAATCTTGCCAAAAGCAATCTACAGATTCAATGCAATCCCCATCAAAATACCAGCACAATTCTTTACAAATCTTGAAAGAACAATTCTCAACTTTATATGAAAAGACAAAAGAACCAGAATTGTCAAAACAACCCTGTTCAACAAAGCAATGTCCAGAGGCATCACTATCCCTGACTTCAAGCTCTACTATAGAGCTATAGTCCTGAAAACAGCTTGGTATTGGCACAAAAATAGACAGGTAGACCAATGAGATCTAATTGAAAACTCTGATATTAATCCACACACCTACAAACACCTGATTTTTGACAAAGAAGCTAAAATTATGCAATGGGAAAAAAGCATGTTCAACAAATGGTGTTGGCATAACTGGATGCTGGCATGTAGATAGATTTTTATCTATTGCCATGCACAAAACTTAAGTCCAAAGGGATCAAAGACTTCAACATAAATACAGCAACACTGAACCTCTTAGAAGAGAAAGTAGGAAGTACCCTTGAACGAATTGGTACAGGAGACCACTTCCTGAAAATAATACCAGCAGCACAGACACTGAGATCGACAATTAATAAATGGGACCTCCTGAAACTGAGAAGCTTTTGTAAGGCAATGGACATAGTCAACAAGACAAAAAGGCAGCCCACAGAATGGGAAAAGATATTAGACAACCCCACATTTGACAGAGGGCTGATCTCCAAAATTTACAAAGAACTCAAGAAACTAGTCACCAAATCACCAAATAATCTAATTAAAAAGTGGGGTACAGTACTAAATATAGAATTCTCAATAGAGGAATCTAAAATGGCTGATAGAAACTTAAGAAAGTGCTCAACATCTTTGTCTATCAGGGAAATGCAAATCAAAACAACTCTGAGATACAATCTTACTCCTGTCAGAATGTCTAAAATCAAAAACACTAATGACAGTTTATGCTGGAGAGGATGTGTAGAAAGGGGAATGTTCCTCCATTGCTGGTGGGAGTGCCGACTTGTACAGCCACTTTGGAAATCAGTATGGAGATTCCTCAGGAAAATGGGAATCAGTCTACCACAAGATCCAGCAATTCCACTCTTAGGCATATACCTAAAAGATGCACACTCATACAACAAGGACATGTGTACAAATGTGTTCATAGCAGCATTATTTGTAATAGCCCGAACCTGGAAGCAATCTAGATGCTCCTCAACTGAAGAATGGAGAAAATGTGGTACATTTACACAATGGAGTACTACTCAGCCAAAAAAAAAAAAAACAATGGAATGCTGAAATTCACAGGCAAATGGATGGAACTAGAAGAAACCATCCTGAGTGAGGTAACCCAGTCACAAAAAGACAAATATGGTATGCACTCACTCATATATTGTTTTTAGACCCAGAGTAAAGGAGTACCAGCTTACAATCCATACAGCCAGAGAAGCTAGGAATGAAGGAGGACCCTAAGAGAGACATACATGTCCCCCAGAGAAGGAGAAAGGGAAAGGGGGAGGGGAGAGGGAGTGAGGAGAAAGAGAAGGGGAGAAGAGGAGGGGAGAGGAGGAAATGAGGGAGCAGGAAGATTGAATCAGGGGAAAAATAGAGGAGAGCAAGAAAAGACACACCATAATAGAGGGAGCCACTATAGGTTTAAAGAGAAATATGGAACTAGGGAAATGTTCAGAGATCTACAAGGATAATACCAACTAACAATCTAAGCAATAGTGGAAAGGCTACCTTAAATGTCCTTCCCCAGTGATGAGATTGATGACTCCCTTATACGCCATCCTAGAGCCTTCATCCAGTAGCTAACACCCAAGTTAAACACTGAGCTGAACTCCTGGAATCCAGTTGCAGAGAGGGAGAAGTGATGGACAAAGGGGTCAAGACCAAGTTGGTGAAACCCAAGAAACAGCTGACCTGAACAAGTGGGAGCTCATGGACCCCAGACTGATAGCTGGGAAACCAGCATAGGACCGACCCAGAACCCCTGATAGTGGGTGTTAATTAGGAGGCCTGGGCAATCTATGGGGCCTCTGGTAGTAGATTAGTATTTATCCCTAGTATATGAATGGACTTTGGGAGCCCATTCCACATAGAGAGATACTCTCTCAGCCTGGACACACTGGGGAGGGCCTAGGCCCCTCTCCAAATGATATGACAGACTTTGAAGATTCCCCCATAGAAGGCCTCACCCTCTCTGGGGAACAGAAAGGGGGATGGGATAGAGGGTTAGTGGAGGGGTAGGGGAAGAGGGAAGGGAGAGGGATCTGGATTTGACATGTAAAACAAGCTTGTTTCTAATTTAAATTTTAAAAAATCTGAAAAAAAAAGGAATTACCATAAAGTAGCACTCTCACCATGGAGAAGCATCCCTTACTCAAAAAATGTGAAGGAGCCTCTTTTGCCAAGCAGCCAAGAATATGCAGTACAAACAAGATGAAAAGAAAACCTTGACTGTGATATGCTGATAAGATTTGGAAGTTGGCTGTTTCTGCAGCAAAACAAAGCCACCATTGACTGATCCTACCATGGTTGCCAAGATGATGATGAAAATCAAAGCACTAGAGGAAGAGTTATGAAACACATCTTCATGATATAAATGGTGACAGTGTAAGACACCTCACAGTTAATTCAGTGGTGTCCCTTCTTTTTAGTCTGCTCCTCTCCCACCAGCTGACCCAGGTTTTGCCCAGGTATAAGATCCTGGTTCAACCTTACTTTTAAAAAGAGAAAGAAGAATAGTCTGCTAGGGATAGAGACAGGGATGAGGGGACACAAGGGACATATTTTATCACTATCAGTACATCTGATGACATAAGAACCTTGATTTTTTTGTTACTGTCTACAGACTCTGTACCCCTTATTACCGCTATTGGAAACCACTTTTCACACACATTAGTATATTGATGGCCCTGCTTTACTTATGAGTATAAATATCCCAGTACTGCTAGAAAGCTAGCATATATCCAGGACAAAGACTCTTTTACTAGTTGATCCTAGGATACTGCCTACTATGTGAATGCTGTTTTGTTTTGTTTTGTTTTTTCACCACCATGGGTCTTATTCCCCTCTTTGTCTAGTGAAGTCCTTCACAACTCAGGACTAGGTTCACATATTACCTCCTGTGCAAACTTTCCCCAGGCAAACAGAACTGCTACCTCAGCTATGATCCCAAGCCCTACTATTAATAGCACTGCTGTGCTGTGGCTATTGTTTGTGTACCTTTCATTACCGTAAGACTGTCCTCAGGGGCCAACATATGCCTCTGTCATGTCTGAAGCTCCACGCTCAGCATGGAGCCTATCACAAGGCAGATGTTCTGTGCACATCTGCATCAATGCTGCAAGTATCTCTCCAGCTCCTATCCGATGCCAGCCATTGGATTAAGGTCCTGTGGACACAAGGACATACAGGCCTTGGAGCACTGTGTGGGGAGATGTTTAGACCCACCTGTGCCCTCAGTTGAGATGTTACTCTCTTTGCTCACCTTATTTCTACCTCGTGCATCACAATACAGGCTGCTTTATGACCTTTGGTCTCTATTTTCCATCAGGTTGTTATAAGGGTGATTGGAGTTCGCCCAGATTATTAACTATTGTAATTCAAAAAGCGATGCAAGAGAGAAAGACACCATGTGACAGAGCTCGCGGAAAGGGATTTCTTATTAGGGGAAAGGAAATGGAAAAACAGGAGAGGGGAGGAGGGAGACAGGTCTCTGGAGACAGGAACAGCAGAAGAGATAGGGTGGGCAGAGAGAGGAGAGAAAGAAAGGAACCAAAAAGAGAAAGACAGAGGATAGGAGGAGGGCCCTTTTAAAAAAGAACACAGTGAGTGTGCACAGGTGGTGCTCTTAGTGGTTGCAGCTGAGGGTGTATCCTGTCAGAACCCCAAGGTCAGGCTATTTCAAGTAAAAAGAAGGTTGTTTCGTGCTTGTAATAATTGTTTCTTTCCATCTGTTGGTCTCCATAAGACTCAGTCTACATGCTCCACCTACCTTGCTTTATCCTCTGCTTCCACACACTGATCTCAGTCGTGGATTTGCAAGTCCTGCAGCCCCACCTGGAAGGTAGGATCTTGGCCTCTGAGCAGGGTCTGACTATAAGGTCTTGATGTAGCTGTCAAAGGAGCCTTGGGTTCTGGCGATCCTAGAGCATTGGAAGAGATGCAATTTACAGAGATCCTCCGTCCGCCTTCTTTTTGCGCTGCCCATCTAGCTGACTCTATCCTATGACGGTGTCTCTGTAGTGAGATATCCACCCACCCACACCTGTAGCACTGACCACATGTTTGGGCATGGTCACAGGTGAGGACGTGATGGAGGGTAGGACTAGATCTGGGGTGCTGGACCCCAGAGCTCTCTCTTGCTTCCTGTCGGATCGCAGAGAACAGCCTGGGTGGATCCTTGATACTGGAACCTTCAGCGGTCACGTGAATAAACTTCACTTAACCTGTGCTGTCTAGTGAATCTTGATTCCCCATCCAATATGTCTCTGTTAAGAAATACACTGAAAGACTCAAGAAAACCAGAAATTCCTAGTCCTTCCTTCTCTCCCTCACCACCCTCTGCATCCCCCCATTCATCCAATTACCAACCCAGGCCCATCTAGTGGTGTGCTGCTAAGCGTTTAACAACTACGCCCAGCAGAGAGGCCTCAATCCTGCATACCGCTTTCTGTGCCAAAGTATTTCCAGCTTAGCTAACTGTAAGCCACAGGCATGGAGACACACTGCCTGTGGCACTGAGAAGAGATGTGCCTAAGTCAGCTCTCTGGATCCAGAGTGAGCTGGCTGAATCTGGCTGCGCAACAGGTCCCGTGGGTCTAGGCTTTGACAGCGCAGGGACGTGATGCTTCTGAATACAGCATCTACTGGCTGTTCAGGTTGCTCCATCTCACTCCATCTCGCTCATCGCAGCTTCTCTATCTGTAAACGTGGATAGAAAGGTAACCAACATGCCACCTGCTGTGTGGAGCAGTCGGGTGAATGCCAGACACGAAGCTTGCCTGGCCACCTAGCTTCCCACCTACGAGTCAGCTTCAGCTGGGAAGCTGGGTTGATTAAGAAATGGCTAGGGGGTTTATGAGGCACACGTTCAGGGGTGTCTGTGACTGTGTCCCTGGGGGAAGATTCACTGAGGGGAAAGGCCTGCCCTACATGTACATGGAACCACCTCACGGGCTGGGTCTTGGATAGAAAGGGCAAGAGAAAGCCAGCAAGGTCCTAGCGTTCATCCCTGTCTGCTTCCCGACTACAGAAGTCATGTGACCAGCGGCCTCATGCTCCCTCTGCTGCCCGTGCTTCTCTATCATGGCTGGCTGCAAGCTCGCAAAATGCTCGTCAGAACAAGTTCTTCCTTCTCCTGCACGTTGCTTCCTGCCACCACACATGCAGATGGTGATAAATATGTCCCCTCATCTCTGTCTGACCTCAGTGGTGAGCTAAGATGCTTATATGCCCCACAAGGCAGCTAACCTCCTTTGTCATCAGAACATTCGAAACACACAACGTAATGAATTCTGTTCTGGCAGTTAACTATTTTAGTAAACATTAAGACTTTTCTAGCCCACTTTAGAGGTCTAGATAATTTCTACCATTCCAGGTGGGGCTCTGGGACTTGCAAGTCCACGACTGAGACCAGCGTGTGGAAACAGGACAAACTGAACAAGATCTGTGGGGGTTGCCCAAGACTGCAGAAGTCTCCCTTCATATTCCTCCCTGTTGCTGTGATAAGCATGCCGGCCAAAAGCAACTCAGGGAGGGAAGGACCTGCTACCATCCAATGCTACCATCCAGCCACTGAGGGAAGCCGCGGCAGGACCTGAAGGCAGGGGCTGAAGTCCGTCCCGTGGAGGAACTCTGCTCATGGAGGTTCCCAGGCTCAGCTTCAGCTACACTTCCTACGCATTCCGTTAAGCGACCGGCTCCTCCCCACAAATCTAATGAGGTGAGTTTCTCTTTATCTTTTTCCTCATTCTCCAGAGAGAGACTGAGGCACAGAGAGTGATTACCTGACAAGGTCACACAGCATGAAGCAGCAGCAAGAATCCGAAAACCAAGAATTCTGTCTCTTCCCGCCCATGAGCCTTATTCACATGCCCTTAACTTGCTCTCCTGCCCAATGTGCAGATAGAAGCAGTGGCTGTATCTACCTCATATTTTATGAAAACTGAATTAACATGTTAATTTGTGTATGTATAATACTAAAAAGGGCAACTAGCCATGACTCCTATCCTTCTCGGGACAGCCAGTTGTCTGCCTAGACTCATTCATTCATTCACAAACATTTCCCCAAGGTCTGTCATCCCTTGTCCCTGAGACAGGCACTGAGGGTATCAATATGTGTTAGAACAAAACTCACTTCTAGTCACAGTCCCGTCAGAGAGAGAGGTAGACAAGGACACAGTAATGATGGGGGACGTCCTTATGTATATATGCTTCTCTTGTTGGTTGATGAGTAAAACACTGATTGGTCAGTAGCCAGGCAGGAAGCATAGGCGGGGCTACCAGAGGAGGAGAAGGCTCGGGAGAGAAAGGCAGAGAGAGGCCTCCAGTGAGACACCATGCTGCCGAAAGAGTTACCTGCTGGATTTTTGGTAAGCCACAGCGTCGTGGCAATACATAGATTAATAAAAATGGGTTAATAATTAAGACAGAGCTAGCCAATAAGAAGCCTAAGTCACTGGCCAGCAGTTTACAAATTAATATATAACGCCCATGTGCTTATTTGGGGCTGAAAGGTAGTGGGACCACGTGGAACAGAAACTTCTGTCTACACAGTAACAATATTCTGTGCATTCAATGACACTAGGAAGACGAGATCCAGAGCACAGGTGGGTTGGAACTGTGTGTGAGCAGCGGCATGGGTGTGGCAAGCCTCTTCTACATATGCCCCTCAGGCAGCCCCTGAAGGTCCAGGAGACCATACCAGGGGGTGACATTGAGTGAAATGCTGTCACTAAGGCAGAGAAAACAGCAAGTGTGGGTTTTTAAAAGGCAGGTAACTAAACCATGACCCCCGTGTTCGGAGACTTGTGAAAATCTACTGTTACCAGAGCAGAGAATACTGAGAGGCAGAAGGGTCGGTGACGACATGAGCTAGTCACAATGTCAGAAGAGGGGCTCTGTGTGCTGACTCCGTGTGCTAATCCTAGCACATTGAACTTGATGAGGAGCCCCGTGGCCAATGGGTTATGTATGGTGTGTAGCAGGATCTGTGTCTAGAAGTGCAGACTGAAAACCAATGGAAGACTCTAAAGAATCCACCCAGGAGTGTGTGCGTGGGATGAGCTGAGAACAGTTAGACAGAGCATTCAGCCCCTCCCCTGCCCTCTCTCTCTTCCCTGACTCTGGAATTAAATTGTTTATAGCACCATTTCTATCGGTTTAGTTAGTTTTCCACTGCTCTGACCAGAGACACAACTTGAGGGAGTACATTGGTTTGTTTTAACTTTCAACTCGACATAACCTAGAATCACCTGGGGAGAGTCACACTGAAGGAATTATCTGGATTGCACTGGCTTGTGGTCCCTTCTCCACAGATTTCTCTTTACATTGCACCTATTGCCAAGGCAGAATTTTCTTCTATGTTTGTGCCCCACAGGTTTTCATAATGGATAAGTAGTTTGGATCAAATATTATTTCTGATTCCACTGTGATAATCGCATGGTATTATGGACTGAATGTGATCCTTCAAACTGCACACGTTGATGTGCTAACCTCCATCTGGCTGTGTGGAGATGGGGTCCTTTAAGGAAGTAAGGCAGGTTGAAGGAAGTCGTGAGGATGCTACTCTAATATAATTCATGTTTTCATAAGAAAGCACATACACACACACACACACACACACACACACACACACACACACACACAGAGGCCATATAAGGGAAGTCAGGAAGAAAGCCCTCACCAGAAACAGAAGCAACCAGAACCTTGATTTTGGACTCTGCATTGGTGAGGTGAGCACAGCCGTGTCAAGGACCACAATTGCCTGGGTTCCCTGGCTGCTGGTGTCTTCATCAGAGCACACATCCTACCTGATGCCAGCTTGTCTGTACACATGTCTGCTTTCTTCATTCCCTTGTTGGCCCAGTGACATCAACTCCAAAGCTGTGCCCATGTGTTTGTATATCTGGTCATCCGCTGGGGATGCTGTTCCGGTAGTTTTAGAACCTTGAAACAGTAGATCCTTGCTGAAGAAAGAGCCACAGGGGCCAAGCCTTAAGATTTCTTGGCCCCGCCCCACTTCCTGTCCAATGTGCTTTCTGACCAGCAATGCAATGCAACCAGGAACAGCACCCTGCTGCTGGTGTCCTGCCTTCCAGTGGTCCAATCCTTCTTCACACACATTTAGTATTTGATCACAGCAATGGAAAAGTAACTAACGCACATTGCTAGTCTCCAGAACCTCGAGAAAATTAACTTCTTTTGCTTAAACCACCCAACACACAGAATTTTGTTATGCTGGCCCAAGCAAACTGACGCAGATGGTTTCTATTTTTGAGTCTTTTAATACAGTGAAATATATGGTTGGCTTCCTAATGCCATACTAACTTCCCACCTCTAGTATAAATATCACTTGGTTATGATGTAGTCTCTATACATCGGTAATTTTTAGTTTCTAGCACTATTGAGGGTTTTTTCATCTAGATTCATGAAGGCTATTGGTCTACAGTTTCCTTTTCTTATACTGTCTTTGTACTATTTGGGCACCTAGATAATACTGATTTCATGAAATGAAATGATTGACAAAGTATTCATACCTTTTATTTTCACTTTTGTATAAAAGAAGCTTTTTTAAATGTTGACAGAATTTGCCATGATAGTCTCTGGACCTTTTTTGGGGGAGGTCCTTGGGTGAAGACTTTATTCTCTCTCAGAGGAAAAAAACACTATTTTTGAGCCAATTTTCTGCACCTCCAACTCCTCCAGAGTGATGCAATGAGAAAAGGTGACATTTGCATATACATTGTGTTGTGCGAGGAGAAGACAGATGCCACCTGATGCTCAGAGAACCTGTTTCTTTTATGAGGAGAACAAAGGACACTTGCCCTTTGCTGCAATTAAAGACACCTCAGACTTCCATGCCACAAGCAGACCTGCCCTGAGCTCTAGAAAAGGAAGCTGTGTTCCCTAAGACTGCCAGCTACAAATACGAGCCTTGAAAACACTCCAGAGTAAAAGCAGCCAGTGCCTCTCACTGCAAGGAGCATGAGAGCCCGGGGAGAAATGCCTTCAACAAGCTGTTAGGAATTTGGTCCTTGTAACAGCTCTGCCTGTTCACCATAAGACAGTTGAGGAGAAAAGGGGACCTTATGTCACTTTCATTGTTTATGAACTTGGCTTTCTCTTGTCAAGTGCTGGCTGTACGGATTCAGGTCTGGTACTGACTGCATCCTCCAACACTCATCTGTCTGTCTGAAACGCATCAGCAGGGCTGTCTTTCAGCCTCTCTGCTCCTGTTCGTTCTTGGTACCTGTCTCAACAGTGGCTTGCCAAAGCATCACAGCAATTGATCCCAATAGAGGCTTCAGGAACCCAGTGTTGAACCAGCCTGGAAAATTGCAGCAATCCCTTACCTTGCATTTGGAAATAAAATTTAAGTCCTAGAGGTATGATTCCTCATACCACCAAGAGTAAACACAATTTGGGGCCTATCTATATAAAATAAAGACAAGTCATTTCTGAGTTGTGCTGTTCTGACAGTAAATTCAGATTTTATGTTAAGTCATGACTGGAGTGAAAACATACACAAAAACATAAACAAAATTTAGAAATAATTGTGGTGGAGAGCAAAGTGGTTTTGGTACAAAAGAATTTGTATTTTGAGACTCCCATAGGTGAGTGTAGCCAGGACAGCTCCACTATTCACTTGGGTTTTCTTTTGCTTTGACCACACACTTCAGAGAAAACCGTGATGTGCATTAAAAACAAAAAAACACAGCTAATGGAGTCATGAGCTACTCTGAAGTTGTAAGCCCGTTTTCACTTTCTTATCAGACACTCACTATAACTGCTCTTTGGGGATGCATGTTGGCAATGGATTCTCTTAGATTTCTCTCTATTGAGAATGTCTTTATTTCCCCCTTTTTACTCCTAAACAGTGGCCCCTCCAGGTACAGTCTGTGACTGGCAGCTGCTTTGCTTTAGCATCCAGAAAGAACTAGGCCAGCAGATCCTCACGCCCAGCCTGGCACCAGGTGAAAAGGCCTCTACAACTCTAGTGGACTCTGTCAAGAAAATACTCTTGTTTCTAGCTGGCTTTTTCTGAGATTCTTTCCCTTTGCTTTCAAGTTTCTTGGAGTTTAGTTCATAACATTTCTTGAATTTTCTGTGCATTTGTCTCCACAGGATTTTTATTTTTGGCTTCTTTTATTTGTGTGACCATGTTAATTTTCAAGTTGAGAGGATCTAGAACCACCTATGATAGGGCTTCCAGGCATGACTGTGTGGGGCGACACTGGCTTCATTAACTGAGGTGGAAAGACCAGTCCACTGTGGGTAGCACCATTCCTTGATTGGGGTCCATGTAACACGAGTTCTAATTGTTCTTAATGATATAAACCCGCAGCCAGACATCAGGACAAATGCTGAGAGATCAGAGAGAGAGAGAGGAAAAAAGCAAATCACAGCCAACTCTTACCTTGCTAACTCCTCAGCCTGGAGAGACTGAGCTCCCCGTTCTCTTCCCTCCAAAAGACTTCCTCTCTCTGCCCAGCCGGACCACTTCCGGTCTGTCTGTACCACTTCCGGTCTGTCTGTACAGACTTCCAGACCTCTATGGTTAACTAGTGGCCAGCTCCGCCTTCTGGTTGGCAGGCAAGCTTTGTTAGAGTATAAGCAAGAAATCATTGCAGATTCCTAGAGTGTGTGCATGGAGAAAGGGTACTGAGTAGTAGAATTAATTCAGAACTCTCTGTTTTCTAATTGTGGATGTAAAGGAACCACTCGCCTCAAGCCCCCGCTGCCTTGATTTCCTTGCCACAATGGACCTGTACCTTGAACTATGAGCTGAAACAAAACAGACTCTACCCACTAAGGGCTTGTCAGCAGAATTTATCACAGCAACAGAGAGAAACCGAGACAACCTGCAAGTTAATGTTCACCCCAATCAGAATGAATTAGCTCTTATTTTGTTGACATTTCTAGGCTCCTTTCTCTTTCAAACTGTGATGGAACTCTTTGTGTTACTGTTCCATAAGCTCTACCTACCTTTTAGATAGATAAATAGATGATAGATAGATAAATAGATGATAGATAGAAAGATGCCAGATGATAGATAGATGATAGATTATTTATAGATAGATAGATGGTAGATTACAGATAGATAGATGATAGATTGTAGATAGATAGATAGATAGATAGATAGATAGATAGGTAGGTAGGTAGATTACAGATAGGTGATAGATTACAGATAGATATATAGATAGATAGATGATAGATTACAGATAGATAGATAGATAGACAGACAAATAGAATGTTCTACTTTTGCATAAATTCTGTTCAATTTCAAAGTTCATAAGGTCTCCTCTACTCTACTACTGAGGTTGTTTCCCCTTGGTGATTACACTTCTGCTTCTGATTGACTCTTTTTAAATTATCTGCCTTTCCTCCCTGCAGGTGCCTGTTATTTTGAATGCTGAGGAGCAAGTTCCAGGCACTGTCCACCATCATCCTGCACTGAGCCTCATTACAGCTACCAGGAATTTTTCCTCAAGATCCTAATTTCCCTCATGACCTCTTGTGGTAAGGTGAACTCAGCTTCCCTTGCTTAGGCCTACCCAAGCTACAGAACCTCCTGCTCTTCCAGGAGCCTTGAGACCTCTGCTTTGACCATCTACACCTCTGCTTTGACCATCTACATCTCTGCTTCGACCCCCCTATACCTCTGCTTGGGCCTGCCTACACCTCTGCTTCATCAGCCTACACCTCTGCTTTGATCTGCCTACACTGCCTAGGAACCAAGTTTCAGACAACAGCCATGAAGCTGGACTATAGCTCTGAGGAATTTTGCTCCAAGAACTCAGCCTACCAGATTTTCAAAACAGACCTAACACCTACATTTCCCCAAATTGTTGCATAAAATAGAAAATGAAGGAGTACTTCCATATTCTTCTTAACCAAGCCAGCACTAACCTGATATCAAGACCAGATAAAAATCCAATAAAACAAGAGGAATGTAGGACCACCTTCCTGATAAATACACAAAATTCTCAAGAAAGTATTTGCAAAGGAATTTAAGAGCAAATAAAACTATCATCCACCAGGACAAGGTTGGCTTCAACTCAAAGATACAACATAGTTCAACATATATAAACCAATACATGTAACCCACCACGTTAAGACTCAACTTTAAAAGAGCCATATAATTATCTCATTATCTAATGAGATGATTATTAGAAAAGGCCTTGGACAAAATCCAACACCTCCTCATGATAAAAGCTCTATGAACCAGGTGACATTTATCAACGTAATAATGGCAATATACAAGCCCACAGCCACCATCATGTTAAGTGGGAAAAAAGGCAAAGATTTCCACTAAAATCCATGTTTCAAACCTGTTCAATATGGTGCTTGAAGCCATAGCTAAAGTAGCAAGACAAGGGAGAAGAAGGTAGAGATACAAATAGGAAAGGAGAAAGCCAAAGCATATAATTCTATATGTAAAATACCCTAAAGTTTCCCCCCCAGAACACCCCCATTGCTGACAAACACATTCAGCAAAGTAGCTGGATACATAATCAGCCCAAAAATAATAGTAGCTTTTTTATATACCAATGATAAACACCTGGGGAAACAGGAAAAGAAATCAGGGAAACAATATAATTCATGATAGTCTAAAAATAAAAAGTAGAATAAATATAGCCAATGCAATGAAAGATACCAAAAGATGGAACGATCCCCCTGCTCATGGGTTAGTAAGATTACTACTGTGAAAATTCCCATTCTACCAAAAGTGATTGAGAGACTCAGTATAATTTCCATCAAAATTCCAATGTAATTAGAAAACACAAAAGACTCAGGATAACCATGGTTCAGACACATCGATCAACAGTACAGAACCGAGGGTTTACACTCGAGCCCACACGCCTACATCCATCCGACTTTTGATGAAGAGGCCAAAAACACACATTGAAGAAAAATGTGTCCCCAACAAATGATGTTAGCTAAACTGGATAGATGTATGTAGAAGAATGAAACTTAGTTCTTATCCTTCACCCTACACAAAACTTAACTCTAAATGGATTAAGTACCTCAACATAACCTGATAGCCTGAATTTGATAGAAGAAAAAACTAGGCAATCAATACATTTGAACTCGGACCCCAGTAGCACAGGCATTAAGGCCAAATAAGTGACAAACTGGGCCGCATGAAACTAAAAAGCTTCATGTAACAAAAGACACCAACATATGAGTGAAGAGGCAGCCTACATTCATGGAGAAAAATTCATTGCCAGCTATACATCTGACAGAGGCTTGTTGTCTAAAATATATAATGAATGTCAAAAAGGAAGCCCCCAAAAACAAAAAAAAAACTAAACACTAAACTAACCACCCAACTTAGAAGTGGGCTATGAAGTTGAACAGAAAGTTCTCAAAACAAGAAATACAAACAGTTGAGATAATATTTTTTTAAATATTCACTATCTTTAGACACCAAAGAAATGCAAATTAGGACTACTCTGAGATTTCATCTTACCCAAGTTAGAATTGCTAAGATCAAAACAACAAATTATTTTTTAAGTGCTGTTGTGGATGTGGGGAGGGTGGAACATTTATTTACTGTTGGTGGGAGTGCAAGCCGATTCACCCACTGGGGAAATCAGTATTTGATAGGTAGACTTAGATCCACCATATGATGCAGTCATACCACTCCTGGGCACACACTCACATAAAGGTTGACTTATACCAAAGTAATGTGTGCTCATCTGTGTTCTTTGATACTATATTCATAAAGGCAAAGAAATAGATGCAGCCTTGACGCCCATCCACTGATGAATGGCAGATTAGTTACTTTCCTGTTGCTGTGATAAAACACTATGACCTACCAAAGGAACTTCAGAAGAAAGAGTTTATTCTAGCTTATGGTTTGCTTGCAGATGTGGAAGCAGGGGCAGGAAACTGAGTGCTCACAGCATGTGTTGCAAGAATGAAACAGAGAGAACAAACTGGAGGTGGCGAGAGGATTTTGACTTTCAAAGCCCACCTCCATTTATACACAGTCCTCCATCAAGGCTGCACCGCCCACGCCTCTCCAAACAGCACCACCAACTGGAGACCAAGTGTTCAAATGCCTACAACTATGAGGAGGATGTCTCTCCCTCAAATCCCCACAAGTGTAACATTCCATTACACAAATGCCTACAACTATGAGGAGGGTGTCTCTCCCTCAAATCCCCACAAGTGTAACACTCCATTACACAAATGCCTACAACTATGAGGAGGATGTCTCTCTCTCAAATCCCCACAAGTGTAACACTCCGTTACACAAATGCCTACAACTATGAGGAGGATGTCTCTCCCTCAAATCCCCACAAGTGTAACATTCCGTTACACAAATGCCTACAACTATGAGGAGGGTGTCTCTCCCTCAAATCCCCACAAGTGTAACACTCCGTTACACAATGGAATATTATTTAGCTGTAAAGAAAAATAAAATTTTTAACGTTCAGGTAAAGTGAGTGAGGTAACCCAGACCCCAAATGACAAATGCTCCATTGTCTCTCTTGAATTGGAGAACCTATAGAAGTTAGAATAATAGTAAGGGACCATGAGGGGGAGTTTCAAGAGAAGGGAGATAAAATGTAGGTCATATGAAGGGGGGATGGTAATAATGGAACAGGAAGGATTAAATAGGCTGAGGAATGGGAAGGCTGTGTAGAAGAGTTGGTTGGTGGATAACCAACACGAAAGAGCTTTGAAAAGGCCATATGAAAATTTACTCTGTTGAAGCTTCCTAAATACACATGCATATGCACACACATTATATATACACACAATATATGTGCATATATGTATACATATATATATACACACATATGTTTATTATATATACACACTTATCACACACATATTATATATATGCACACATATACACACACATCACACACACATATATATTATATATACATATACACATCACACACACATAATATATATACACACATCACACATATATACTCACACACATACATATATATTATATACACACAATATATATGCACATATGTATGCATATATACACACATGTATATTACATATATACACATCAGACATATATATTATATATACACACACATATATATTATATACATATATACACACATCACACACACATATACAAACATACATGCACATGCATACAGTATACATACACAAGCATGCACATACATACACACCATAGGCTAGCAAAAATAAAAAGCCTAGTGGCAGGTTACTTCTTTTTGAGGTGTTGGTCAGTGAGGTCCCATAGACTGCCCTCTCCTCTAAATCACAGCCTATTTCTATTGCTCTTGGCTACTCTCCAGAATTTTATAATTGAAAAATAAATATTGCTTAAGATCACACATGAATCATATGCCATGGATAAATCAAACTGATAAAACTTTGAAGCGTCATCCTTACTGGCTAGT